ATCATACAACACATGGTGCGTGGGAAACGATAAAACAGAAATACGTTGGACCGATAAGAGGACTCTGGAAGATTTCGACTTCATGGACGATTTACGTCTAATTTACGTGATACAAACTCGAAGACCTACAGTCGAAAACCAACATATTGACAGAAGCAGCAAGGACAAGACTTCAAGTGAACATAGAAGAGACAAAAGTGATGAAGATACGCACCCACCAACAGTGACAACTGCTGATTCCCCTAACCGAGAGGAATTTGAAGTAAATAACTTCTTTCACTTATCTAGGTAGCATCGTCTCGACAAGAGGTGTGGCATGGATGGGAATATCAAAGGCAGGTTCAGAAAGTCACGACAGACCCTGACTAATTTGAATTAGTGTGAAAATCCACTGAACTAAGCATAGACAACAATATTCGGATTTCCAAAAATCAATAATATCAAGTCAGTTATTGATTTTGTATGATTCAGAGAATTGGTGTGTCACGGAAATCATTTTCAACAGGCTTCAGACTTCTATCAATCAACAGGTGCCTTAGGTGGCTTCACACTGACTATCAGATGGCTAGAAAGAATTAGCAACAACGAACTCTGCGAATGAAACAATCAACAACAACAAATTGTCCAAAAACAAAATAAGCAGAAGAAAATGGAGATAGATCGAACATACACGCTGATGAGACCATTGAGAGAGATCCCGTAAACTAGGTAAGCCATCGAGTGAAATCCGAGTGGGAAACTGATATGTATCCATATATATATATATATATATATATATGTGTATGGTGGTCTCTCTTTCTGTTTGCTCGCTTAGTCTGTGACCATTTCACCTTGATGAACCTGTCTCCTTTAACAATGTATATTCTCCTTATATTACATATAATATGAGTGTTTGTTGACAGTCCGTTGCTTGGTGACATATATCCATATTATATGTGTGGTTGTTGACATGTCTGCTATATTTTGCTATGTATGTAGGGATCGATACTTCATTATAATTAGCCATTCATGTTAAGACTGTCCATTGATTTGTTCACACACTTGTCTGGACATTCATATATATTTCGCTCACACAATCTTGTGTGACTACTTATTTTTGGTGTGATACCACTTATTGTGTCTCCTTGTGTTTGGAAAATAGAAGTATCATCGCAAACCTAGTGGTCTTCTGATTTCCACCTTCTTGCGTCAGGACTATTAAATTCTCGACCAGTACATAGCAATAATTTGGCGACGAGTACATATTAATTTGGCGACGGGGAAAACTACTATTAACCACTCAGCAGCAGCAACATAACAGAAACGACAAGTTGGTCGTGGTTGCGAGGATGACATGATGATTACGCAGCCAGGTGAAGAGAACAACAGAAAACTGGATGAAATAGAGATGTGCTGTTGGATCCTTGTGTTCCACTCAGAAAAACCAAGAGAATCACAATAATAGTGGTAGTAACAGTCTCCTCTTACCAACTCAACAATTGATTTGATTTTATTTTTCATCACTTATCTGCATTCAGCTTTTTTATTACAATTTAACACATGGGAATAACACTGACTAGATTTGATAATGAGCTAAGATAGCCCCGTATTGTGTTATGTCATACATTTTAGTTGTGTGTTTCTTCTTCTTCTTTTTCTTTCACGATCTCCACTATTTAATCATTACTAGACAAAAGTGCCATCTATGAAAGCAATCATCAAAGAGACAGAGTCAGAGAGAGAGAAAAAAGAAAGAAAGAAAGACGGAAAGAGAGAAAAAAGACTAGAGAACAAAGCACAAGCAACACATAGTGTTTTATTACGTTCAGAAAGCGTAACTTATCATCATCATCACCAACATCATCATCTGATCTTATCGATTTACATTCGAATGGAGTGAGGCTAAGTTAAAGCTTGTGAAATTGAGAGTGAAAAAAAAGAAAGATGAAATTCAACAATAAATAACAGAAAATCTATAACCAAGTCATTTCAATCATTTATTCATTGAAAGACATACTCAGAGAGAGAGAGAGAGAGTATGAACAAAGATAAAACAACAATAAACACAGTATGAGCAAAAGAAAAGTAGTAAAGGCGTAGGTTTAGACTAAAGATGTTAGAGAATAGCAAAACGTGAATGAGCAAGAAAGAAGAAAATACACAATAATAATACTAATACTACTACTAATAATAATAGCGCGTTCAAACAAGCATTGATCAATTCACAAAATGAAATAGACAAAATAGCCAATTAAAAAGTTATGACAATGGATCATGACAGTGAGAACGACCTATATATCAAACATTTTTTTTTTAAAAAAAAAAAGGCATTTTCCCTAAATATTTATCTGTAAATCAGTCTCATTTTTAAATCAATCTTGAAGGATATCATCAATCTATTGATAGAAAGTATTTGCTACACTTAAAGTATGTACACCTCAGCGTTATAACTTTCAGTAACCCGTTGTATGTTAGTTAATGCGCTAACATCAATAAGGCGTATTCTTTGTATTTGAGAGGCTAGTTGTACTGGCCAACTTTCTTAATCACAAAGGGTGTGTATAAGGGTGTTCGAAACCCTGAATCATTGATTCAGAGTGGAATATCAAGATCATTGAAGTTATAACTCCATAGAATATCATTAGTTAACGATAGAGATAAAAGAATATTTTACCAATCGGATCTTGAAAATTATTTAGCATTTCTTTAGTTTTAATATATATATGATTGTGGATCTTTCATCACAAGGTACCTTTAGAATTTCAAGTTTGTCAGTCAGTTGATAATGAAAAACTGCAAAGTATTTCAAAATAAACTGAAAAAGGCTTAGTAATTCTTAATATAATTGACATTAATGAAGGTCATGTGAAGACTGCATCGACTCGTCAAATCTATTCACCTAGAGGAATAACAATGAAAACTGTAAGGAAGAGAATACGAAGGAAGCTGGAATACAATGAGGATAAATACGTTTCAGTCAGCATGGCTTTACAGGGATGCAGATTGATAAAAATAGTAAATTATCAAAATACAATCAAGTGTCAACGTCTATAGTGACAACAGAGGTAGATACAAAATGTATAGAAATAGATTTTTAGTCTACATTATTGATCTACTCTAATATTTTCCATACGCTTACTCGTTATCAACTCGTTATATCATGGTTATTGTCTTTAGTGTAACGAAAGGTAATACATACGATGATATTCTTATACATTAATACCATACCTGACAGAAATGGATTTGAGTAGTCTAATCACTTCTAAATGTGTCATATAAAGTCAATAATAAGGCATAAATGATTGTCGCGATTTTCATTAAGTTTACATTATCATTCTATTGTCACATACGTATATATATATATGCTTACATTCCATTCACAATCGAGTGTTTCTACATTCTGACAGTTCATTTTATCAGAATGCCACTTGTGACATAATCACTCGCATAGTTGACTGTCAGCCTATATCTACAAGAATCTGACAAGCGTTGAAATGATGTGGCATATAGTTTCATAGAAAATCAAGTATATATACACGGAATAGTGTATAACACGAGGAGAACAACATAGATATAAGCCAGGGCGGGGCAGGGAAATACGAAAACTAACATTTCAACAAACTGTGGAAGTAACACAACAACGTTCTATAAGCAAATATATGGAACAGAAATAGTAGTAACAATAATGGTGAATACATAAGACATTATGGCATAATAAGGCATCTTAGTTACAGTAATATGTAGAATAGATTATCCTAAGTTTGTACGATCGATATTCACCTGTACTATTCAATGTCTAATAACCAATATTAGTAAACCTGAATACGTCAACCAGGAATACCGAAGTTATATTGTGCTGGTGTGATACAGTCAATGTGCTCCAACAGACTATTAATCTCACATATTCCCACGGTTCAATACAGCGTCAGTAACAAAATACGACATATCTTTTTGAACATTCTGTTTGTTGCTAGAGGTAGAATATTATTCCCACATTTCAATACTACTCTAGCAAGAGAATACCTTGGCTTCCGTGTTTTGCCTTTTATTGTTACATTTGGTGTCGCTGTCTGCCGACAAATGGAAAGCGTATACCCTGAAGTTTTTGATGGAGATATATGGATCTTTTGGCAGGAATTCGAGGCTGTTGCGCAGTTGAGTGGCGTGCAACATCCATCAGCGAGCAATGAGGCTGTTACTTAGATCGCTGCTGGGAGGTCAGGCGAAGGCAGAACATGATATTATGAGGCGAAACACTAGCGAATGAGCGTCAGGGTCACGTAAACTGCTTTCAAAATGGGAAGGACCATACATGGTCACCGTGAGAAGGGATCATGTATATACGATAAGAAATGAGAACAAAGAGAAGCAGGTGAACTTCGGCGAGCTCCAGAACTCAATACAATAAGACAAACAAAGAGAGCCACCAGGGACAAGAAAATCGAACCGAATAATGCCCACATCTCAATACTGCATTAGTATGAGTGCGTCGGTGGCACAGCGGTTAGGACGCTCGCCGACCGTGCATACGACCGGGGTTCGATACTCGAGCGACGCACTCCTTTACCTCGCTAAGCCAGAAATAATGCTGGTAAAGAGGAAAGGTTGGGTATGAGGCTAGCAACCCCATCCTGTAAAAATAAACACACCACTGCTACAGAAACTTCAAGCCAGTGGCTTGAAGCCCTATGTTCCTCTGGGAACGTGAAGGTTTTTTTTTATGAGAATACCTTGACTTCCGTACCTTGTCTTTTGTTGTTTCAATATTATTAAGATTTTAACTAACCTTTTGACAATTTCGTCGAAAAACCGTAGGAATACTTTCATTTTTCTCAGCAAAAATAAACTAAAGACACGTAATCTAGCTAACTTATTCGATAGACAAAGAAAACAATCGTTTCTAGTCCCTTCAGTCTACTGCGAATCACATACAGCCTTACGAAATACACTCATATTTTTGAAACAATATCAAAATAACTTAAATTATTATAACACTGAGGAAAAAAGAAAGATAGTCTCACCTTATTTTCATGATCTTTCAATTCCATTAGCTCTGATAAAATCTCAAAATAGAATACCAATAGGCGTATTGGAGACTTGACACGACAAACTGTCGGTAGTGGGACACATATCTCTGATACATCGTTTCGTTTCCCAGTAGTAACCACTGTATTATTCATAGAAGAAGCCTATTAAGTAATACAATACCAAAATGGGAATTAACAATAAATAGTATAGTTTAAGGCAATAACTGTAAATACGTTGTCACAAGATATTTATGAACAGAAAAATGATTATACTATTAAAATATTTTTACAACCCATTTTTTATGCATCTATAAGAGAAAAAGCGTTCAGTGAAGAGTTACCAATTTCAGCGATATCATTCTTAAGATGTTTTTTTTTATTTTCCTTTGCGTTCCCCAGTGGGCGTCAAGCTAGTGGCTTGAAGTTTCTGTAGAAGTGTTTATCTTACAGGATGGGGTTGCTAGCCTCATGCCCAACCTTTCCTCTTTACCAGCATTATTTCTGGCTTAGCGAGGTAAAGGAGTGCGTCGCTCGAGTATCGAACCCCGGTCGTATGCACGGTCGGCGAGCGTCCTAACCGACCGGGGATCGGACCCCGGACGATGTGCATGGTTGGCGAGCGTCCTAATCGCTGTGCCACCAACGCACGTCTTAAGATGTACGATCGCATATATATATATATATATATACAATAAATTATCTTAGCAACAAAGGGAGTATTTTCAAAGATGTGTCATAGGAATGGTAAACCTTAGATAACAAATTACGCAATATAAAAATGTTAATCGGGTAGAGACTAAGATCAAATTAAATAAATTTTGAAGTAATGTAACTGACGGGAGTGAGTAGAATTTGAACGAGAGTCAAGTTTACCAGCAGTGGTAATAAGGGGTAAAAATTTAATAGGAGGTGAGGGAGGAGAAATAATACAATTAGAAAAGAACAAGAACAAAAATTACGTATCCGGTGATAATTAAGATGGATCAGGTCTATTGTAGATTTAGTGACTAAACAAGCTTCTTCTGTATGCGTCGGTGGCACAGTGGTTAGAACTCTCGCCGACCATGCACATGGTCCGAGGTTCGATCCCTTGCCGACGCACACATGATATCTATGGTCGGCCTGCAAAATTTGGGCTACCGATATCCATGCTGAAAATTCCATACTTGTACCAAAAATACAGTGTGGAATCAAGCTGTAATCAAAATAAATGGAGAGTTCAGGATTCAACATGTGAATCGCCATTGCTTCTGCAGTTTGATTGGTACTGTCACCTAGCATGATTACGGGCGGTCTGCTTAAATCTTGGGCTACCAAAATTTCCATCCTACATATTGCATCTATTTCCTCGAATTTATTTTATTTTAATCACTCAATTATGTGTCCTAATCGTATTGTTTACTCTCGCAGTTATTTAAAACGTTTCCAACCGGCTGATTTACTAGTTTCCAATAAGCTTTAGAAAAAGCTTCATGGTGGATGGCAACGAGCTTTAAAGCGTACTCCAATGCAATTGATAACTGTTCCTGTGATTATGAGCACAAATTGCAGATCTCTACCGAACAAGATTAATTACTTGCATTCTCTGTTAGACTCAAATGTATATTGTAATACTGGTGTAATTACTCTTTAAGAAACTTGGCTCCACGATTTATATGACGATAATTTAGTCTCCTTAAGTGGTTTCACAATGTACAGACAAGAGCGATGCAGCTCAAAGGAGAAGAGAGGTGGTGGTGTTGCCACATTGATTAATTCTCAATGGTCTACTGCCAACAACGTCTGCTTCAAATTCTCAAATGACAATATTGATTGTATAACTGTCAATATTGTGATTAATGCTGAAAATTCCATTCTGTATCATAAGTACTCTTTTTGGAATAAAGTAAATCATTATTATTATTCCCGCGTATTCTGTAGATGACTTTGAAGTTGGCTTGTGGGTTGGCTTTATGTGGTCAGGTGTTCCAGGATAGACCTGAGAGGAGCATATTTTCCTTCTTTTTTCAAAACCATGAGGTTAAGCGTTTCCGAATACGTTTGGAATTTCTTACCCAAGAAGATATAATGCATATTGAATGACTAGAAGAATAAATTCTCACTAATCCTTAAACTGAATTTCCTCAGGACTTAAATCACCTTGAGAGAAATTAATTAGTCAGTGGTAGCCTAAAAATAGAATCTTTCCTCAAAAAAATGTACAACAATTTAGTCTTTTCTATACTGAACTGTACACAACTACACACTTAGTTCATCAAGTACAAATGAGTCTTTCAAACAAAGTATGAATATGTGACCTTCATGTCCCGCATTTGGTACATATTTATGCTTTGTTTAAAAATACTACAACTTGTTACCTGAATAAGCGGTCTCCAGAGCTAAGCGTATAAGTAAACCCTTCTATATAACTGTAGGAACTCGCCACACAAAGTAGATTTTATTATCACACTGTTTCGTATGGACAGTAATTTCGGGACTGATGAGGAACACTCGAGCAGAATAACGCCGATTCATTCTAGTCCAACGGTTCTCTTCTACGAACTACGACGTATAATACGTATTACATCACATCCTATTCAGAAACGTTTACCACACTTCACTTCATCGAATAAAAATCAATAATGGCATAGTGAATACAAAACATCATTCTATGTAAAGTCCAGTTAACAAGTAATATTATTTTATCAAAAACATATTTCTAATTTTTATTTTCAATGTGAAATGATCGTTTTTATCAGATGAACAGAAGTCTGATAAACATTGGATTATAATAAGTAATTTAGTAATAGATACTATAGGTGTACGCGCATCAGTGGTTCAAAAGTAGGACGCTCGCCAACCACTGATATGGTCCGGGGTTCGATTTCCGATCGACACACTCCTTAAACTCGCTTAGGTGGTAGGCTCGGTAAACAGGGAGGGTTAGTAACCTTACCCCGTAGTCCCACTGTTACTACAACTCCAAAGCTCAAATTCGAATCCATATCTTCCGCATAGAACGCTAAGGAATTAAAATAAAACTGTTGCCGGACTGGGAGAATGATTAACTCAGTATTGACATCCACCAAAATCCCATAATACCTGTTATACATTACAGTAACACTTAAGTTTGGATTCCTCGAAATCTAAAGCTACCAGAATGTTATCAAAGAAATCAAAGCTTTAGCTTTCTCAGTGTCGATAATATTTAATTGCATTTGGGTTGTGTATCAAAGTGTGACAAGTATGATGACATAACAAATCCTGGGAATTCATCCTTTTTAGATTTCCCTTCAAAAACAATCATCAAGGTCTAGTGAATTTTCACAACCTTTCCAGTGCTTTTTTTATAAGCGAAAAGTTCATAAGACAAGTTTGGGAGCTACTTGTGTTTACACACGAAATATACCTTCATAAGGGGAGAAAAGAGTACAGAATTACTGTGCTCATTGCTCATTTACACGAAGAACCGAACAGTCTAAGGATGAAACAATCAATACACTTTTATCTTACTAAATCCGGAGACGTTACACTATAGCATCAATGTAAGTGTAGAAGCTGTGCACTGTGATAGAATGTAATGCCATATTCCAAGTTAATTTTAAATATCACACAGGGAAACAGTGTTAATAACTGGATGACGTTTAAGCACAAAGTATTGCTCATAATCATATAAATTTAGTCACAATGTTTCACGGCTTGTCTTTTACATTTTTCCTCTTTTTCTATCTCTCTACAACTTGCCCTTGTTGTTTGTTGCCACTTTCCATATCTCCGATATAGGTGTTGGGACATTCCGATCGCTAGCTAAATTTTTGTGTTCCAATAATCTAGTTGACCCAGATCCAAAACTTGTTTGACTTCACAGTCACTACATGGTGTTTGGTAAATTATATTATTTTTCAGAATTTCATCATGAGCTGACATTAGTTAGAGAACCATTGGAAAACCTGGGAGTACTGGACAGCTGTTTCGTCCTAGTTTGGGACTCTTCATCAATACGCACCCATGGGATTCGAACCCAGGACCTTCTGGCTACAAGGCGAGCTACAAACCAACACTTGAATACCAATGAGATTCTCACTGAAGACTGGCCCTATTCAGGTAGGTAGTTACCTCGGTTCCAGTGGGAAGTCGTGACCAGTAGGGTGCAGCAGGTTGGGTGTGAGGACAAATACTCGCCGAAGACATTGGCTAGCGGTCGCGCTATGTCGTGAATTGGCAGAAGTTAGAATTCAAGGACCATTGGATCGGGTCCCAGTGGCTTAATGGTATACGAGCTCGCCTTGTTACCGGAAGGTCCTGGGTTCGAATCCCGGTGGATGCGTACTGCTGAAGAGTCCCAAACTCGGACGAAACAGCTGTCCAGTACTCCCAGGTTTTCCAGTGGTTCTCTAACTAATGTCAGCTCATGATGAAATCCTGAAACCAATCAAATCCCTACAAACCAACACTTGAGTATATTATTTTTCATAATTGGATCTATTGGGTCCTAAAGCCGGCAAAGTTTATCTTTGAAACAGTTGTTTGATTTAAATGCTACCTTAATTCCAGCCTCATTGAGAATTCTCCGTAAGGTCTACGACGTCTCTTTATACGGCGACGCTACAGAGGCTTTGAATTCCATATTGTTTTCGTTATTTTCGTCACTTTTATAGCTAGTCTTAGTTCCTCTATGGTTCTTCATATATTTCTGAATAAAATCTGGTGCGTAATAGTTGTCCATTAGTAATACTTTATTTGCTTGATTTCATTACTTAGATCTTTTGACTTACTAGTTAGGCTGTTGGCCTGATTATACAGACATTTAACTATACCTATCTTTACAGATTCTGGACGGGATGAATTGAAGTCTATTTTTAATTTATTAGTGTGTCGGTTTCCCATATATGCTGGCAGTATCTAACAGAAGCAAGATTTTACAGTGATATTTAAAATAAACTTGGAATATGGAATTGCACCATGGCAGTCGCCTCGGTGCATGACCTTCGAAATCCAATTAGATTTATGTGTTTAATCAAATTAAATTATTGCTTGTGTTCTGGATTTGCTAAAGTAGCTATATGAGGGTTGAGCGTTTGTATGTTGTGTGAATAGTGGATTGGAGTTTATAAAACATGGGCAAAGTTAGACTACAGCGTCCAAAGGGGTGCGAACAAACGAGTGACCTTGAGCTGACCAACCATAAAAATAAGTGATTTCTACATTAAAAATGACGTTTACTCACAGGAAAATGCATGAAAACACATAAACAGGTATCTTTCCCTGACATGATTCAAAAATACATCCCAGTTATAATGAGGAGTACCAGTTTTTTTAAGTTAGACCAGTTTCTGTACATATTCACCGAGGTGACTTAGGTGAGCTTTTTTGTGACTCGTTTATCGCTTTCATTCTGTTTTGGTCTTCCCCAAAACCCTTCGTTTGAATTGCTGTTTTCCAGTAAGAGGATCGAAGACTACTTAGCAGGAAAACGGGTAATAAAACAAATTCAATAAATAAATAATACCAACTCTAAAACTATCCCTAATCGTAACCCTAGCCTTAATCTGAGCCCTAATTATGACCCTTATCCTAACCATAATCATAACCCTAATCCTAATTATAACCTTGATCCTAACCCTAACGAGTTATTAGTACATTGTCCAAATAGTACTTAGAAACTTGCTCTGGGTTAAATTTGATCCTTAGCTGGTAAATAGTGTTCATATATTCGCGCTATAATAATGGCAAGCGTCCTTAGCCAACGACTAGCATGTGTTCAAGATCACTGGAGCGTTTGCATCCCTTGGGAAGCTATAGTTTGACTTCGCCAAAACATGCACATAATGTGGGAGCTATTCTTCTGGTGGAGTGGACTTAGGAGTAGATTACAGGACAGGATTCAAAGTACTAACGGATATGAGAACACTATAATCAATAGTTGTGGTTTTAACAATTTTGTTATCTTTATTGTTCCTTAATTCTGATTAGTTTCTCTAGGTTGGTTGTAAGGTCGACCGGGGTGGCTGCTATAGTTTAACTTCACCTTAATCCCAATTTCCTTTATTGATTTATTGATTCAAGGTTATATATAATTCAAATAACATACCACATTTATCTGATCCTTTTGTTCTGCAGATTGTGAGGGTAATGAATACTCTTGATCACAAATGTCTTCTTCATCCTCTTCTTCGTTTAGTAATTCCGTTAATCCTTGCAGAATACTCTTGCATATCTCAGGAACATCATAAGTGTGTGATTCATTTTCATTTTCTGTACATAAAACTATCTGTGATAGCAGATTTAATTCCCCGAGTAAATTAATCAATAGATTAGTCCGACTTTCATATTCTTCAGTAGGATTTGAAAATACTGAATAAACAGTTAAACTATCAGGGATATTTTGCTGTCCATCAACTGATGATCGTGTATTTACTTGATCTGGTTCAATCATACTGGCAGATAATTCAGAACTTGTAAATACTGCAGACTGATCAGATCCTTTCTGACTATTTACATGTGATGAGGTACTTTCAGATTTATTAAATCCAGATAACCAAGGTGGAGGAATAGTTTGTTTCGAGGATACAACTTCTAATTCTTCAAGCTGTAAAAATAGATTGTGACTTTCAGTTTGTAATCACATAAATTGAATGAATATTGTTAAATAAATTCATATAACAGGATAAAAACATGTTCTGGAAAAATTGAATATTGTGTGTTGGCTAGCAACGAAATATTGTTAATCGATGTACGTAGGCAGGTGAATTTCACGTGTACTATGTCCAATCAGAGATGATAAGTTAATGGCCTTGGCCATTTATGAATTACGATGAACTCTATGCATAAGGCATGTGAATTTCAGACGAGATTGGTGTGTCAATCACATGAACAACTAAAAATAAGCCTAGTGTTGGTCTTGAGGAGTATACCTGGTTTTCATTGGACAAATTACAGTCGTCTCTATCCCAATAAGTCTGTAAAACATCCCAAAGAAAATGATGATTTCTATTGGCCAAATTTAGAAAAACTAACATGACAGCCACAATCTTATTGGTTAAAAAAGGAGATGAAATTGTATGTTCGAAATTCGCAATAAAAAGTCCCCCTACCATGTGATCAATGTTGAAATAAAACACATCTCTCTGCCACAGGTACCTTGTCATCTACTGACAATTGAGTGAGAAGGTTCGAGAATGTGGACATTTCTGTGCTTAGCAAGTTAACAAACTGCCTTTGTTTAATTCTTAAGCTTGGACTGGGGATTGGTTAGCTCCAAATTAACTAAACTTCAGTAACTGTTTGACAGATGTTGCTTCTGTTAGCATACACACATACTCACCAGTCTGCGAGTAAGGGATTCAGAGCCTATTCTATCCTAGATGGCTCCAGAAACAAACAGAATCTTCAGAACTCATTAATGGTGAGAACAGATGACCTCTATTGCGAAACATATTAATAATAATAATAATGATTTGCTTTATTCCAAAAACAGTACTTGTGATACAGAATGGAATTTTCAGCATTAATCACAATATTGCATCTAATTTCCTCAAATTATAAATAAAATTAATCACACAGAAACTTTTTCACATCTACAATAGAGGTAGTGTCAAAAACATGCAGCATATAAAATGGAAATAGCAATAATAATGATAACAGCTAGGGTAATAATAATAAGAATACAAGTGAGAATTGCCGCTGGCTTGTGCCACACAGTATTGTCAATGTGGTATGGAAATCCTAACATGTTTAAAAATATTGAATATAATGTTCTCTTTACATGATATGGTGAGGGGAAAAACAAAGATTACAGCCGTCATGGAGATAGGTTGGTGTTTGCAATTATGAGAGTAAAACAAAGAAGTAACAGGACCATAAATATAATAGAGACAGGACATAGAACTCATATTTACACATCGTTTAAGCCTATCTATAAAACGTGTTTGGGACGATTATGGAAGCCCCAGCTAGCAATGAGGAAGTTTAAATCACCTTTATGCGTTCAAAAACAATCTGTCATCACATTAAATCTTTCTTGGTAAATTTCGTATCAACACCAGAGCAGATGTACTATTACCTCAGTCATCTAGTTTAGTGATCTTCATTGTTATTTTGACCTCTAACATGTCCTTTAAACTTGATCTAAATCTATTTTCTCACCCCTAACTCTCAATTATTTTGATATGTATTCTTATGACAAGTCCGTTTGTGATCAGATTGTTTGAAATGTGTTGTGCGCACAAATACATTACATTACAGGATTGAGAGAAATTACATCTTCTTATTACTTTGTCTGAATAAACCTTAGTTATAATTGTTTAAAGGTGCCCAGTAAAAATTATTGGTTAGTGAACGAAGAATATTCTTTTCTATAAATTCCTCAATCGCTACAGTTATATATTTGATTGGACACTAGTAACTAGTGTTATGCGTCTAGTCCTTTCTTTGGTGCAGAGTGAATACTGTCAGTCAGATTTGCAATGTGGCCACCATTCTAGGTAACTCACCATCACGGTGCACATTGATGTGATGATATTAGATAGTTGGAGGTAATAGGCAGGACGCCTTGGACCTAGGTTTCGTGCTAGTTGGCACTCATCAACAAGGCGTACCTGCAACCTTGAAGGAACTCATGTCCCTTCTGATCCCAGTGCTGTAGTCAGAGACGTTACCACTGAGCTATTTGGGCTCGCGATTGACCTTCTGTAGGACTGTAGTGGGTACTTTGATTGGGCACTAGTAACTAGTGTGACGTGTCTAGTCCTTTCTTCTATATATATATATATTCATGTTAATTAAGGATTAACTGGTATTGGTCGCACAAGTGTTTCTATTTTCCTTATATGTAGTAGTGAACGCTCATGATTAGTGTCCAATTTATATTTTATTCAGTTCGATAATGAACTTCAAAAGCAGAGCGAGGAAATAAGGTAGGTTATATGTATATATCAGCGTGTCAGTGAATAGCCGAGATGAAATTAGGAAAACAAAAATTTGTTCGTACATATATAAAGACTCAATGACGAATGAATTAGGTAAATTTTCTCATAAGATTTTTGGGGATTTCAGACTGATTTCAACTGTTAGATTTTCGCCATGAACCAAACATTTCTCCATGCTTTTCAGTGATTTCTTCAATTGAATACCAATCACCAGCTCACTGACGATTATTGGATGAATTTCCTTAAGCTTCAAGGGGAAGTCATCACCAGTGAGGTTCATCATGTCAAGATAAAGTGGATTTTCACCGAAGGCATTAGTGAAAGCAGCACTGTATCACAATTTGACACAGCTAGAACTCAGGGGTTATTGAATTGCAGGTTAAGTGTCTGAATGGACAACGAGCCTAGTCTCGCAATCTGAAGGTCACGGATACCATTCCTAGTTAGGTCGTGGGAGCCCACTGTGGAGGAGTCCCAGAATAGGACGAAACAGTTGTCCAGTGCTCCCTGGTTCTTAGTGATCTCTCAAAATGATGTTGGTCCGTGGCAAGAATCTAACGGTAAATGCATTTTATCGAAAGATATAACAACAAATAAGGGGAAGGAGGAATGAGTGCATACATGACGAAAGGTCATATATAGAAGATATGACGTATTACGGTATTTAAGAATTTATGAATTCCACAGCATTATAGAATAGCAATAATGGTTGGACTTGTTTCTTCTGAATACAAATCATCGTCTTTTTCATACTGATTACAATGACTTCTGCTGTTAGGAAATTCGGTACTTGGTGGTTTTTGGATGTCCATTAGGTACACGATAGACAATAGAATAGGGTTATTCAATATGATCTTTGTGGTCTGTTTAGATTAGGTGTTCTTAAGTCAAACTGTTGACGCTTTTCATTACACCTTTATTCAGCTATCGAAAAGAATATTCCTCGTTAACCAGACAGTGTTACTTTCTGTTATTATTTAATTCAATTTGAACTTTCCGGTTGATTGATTGAACAAAAATGATCGGCCTCAGGTTGACAAGTCAGCTCCTTGCTCGGATGCTTTGACTATGTCTGATTATCTAACATGATGCAAATTGTCGGATGATGACTGGCAGTTGAATCCAGAATGCACAACTCGTCCTATTTGCGACTCGTCATTGGAATGTAACTGCATTCACAAGTGAGTGATGGTGTTCCCACTAAGGCTCGAACCCAGTACCCGTCGTTTCAAACGCCGAAGCATTATCCACTAGACCACATGGGTCACAAGGAACCCCCCCTTGTAGAACAGGTGTCCGGTGACTCTCGTTGCCCAAGTGGTCTAGTGGATAATGCTTTGGAGTTTGATACGATGAGTGCTAGTTTTGGAACTTAGTGGGAACACCATCACTGACTCACTTGGGAATACGAGCAAATTCAATGACAAGCCCCAAATAAGATTCTATTACTATTCACCATCCACCAATTTATTTTTTTGTTATGTTTTAATAGAATACTGTGATGATAATAATTAGCACTTATTTATGAACAGGAGAATACAATAGTTCACTGCAATGAAATGAAAATTTCCAATTCATACTATAGATCATTGTGCGTTGGTGGTTCAGCGGTAGAGTGCTCACCAACCACGCAGGTGATTCGGGGTTTGATCACCGGCTGACACATTGCTCTGCCTCGCTAAGCCAGAAATAATGCTGGTAAAGAGGAAAGGTTGGGCATGAGGCTAGCAACGCCATCCCGTAAAAATAAGCACCAATGCTACCGACACTTCGAGCCTCTAGCTTGAAGCCCTATGTTCCACTGGAACTTAAACGAATAAAAAAAACTATAGAGCATTTAATACTCTTTTTTTAAAGCAGAAAACAACTACAGACGAAAAGTGGCGTCGTTATACCTTTACTATTTTCTTATATATGCACTTTTCGCAAACAACCAACACTTGAGTCGATGCGTAACACGGAAATGAACAGTGGAGAAGATAGAAAATTCAGTGAACTATCGATTGAAAGAATGGACAATTACTTAGAAATATTATTAGAAAATGTTTCATTTGTGCCTTTAGGTTTCATCGCATAGTGTTGACAACGACTAGGCTTTTAAATACTTTTAACTTTTTAATTCATATAGTATTTTAAAGTCTATAAAAACTGTCAGAATGCATTAACCAGTGGTATATATATCGATAATGTACTCGCCAAAATGCCAAAAATGTGGTTTATCCTAAATATTCTCGTTTTCAAAGTGCATTACAGATATAACGGTGACAGAAGAGCAACTATTCAGCAAAAATGGTCAGAACCACTAGATAGACAGATAGGTATATTCAAACCCTCTTGACACAGAATTACCATAACGTGTAATCGATACTACATAATCTTGCTTCTTGTAACATGTGGATTACTTTTGTCGCCGACATAAAGAACGGTATTTCGTCAAGTCAGTTGGTGGATGGTGACTAGCAGTGGAATGAAGGATGCGCAAATTGTCCTATTTGATTCTCGCCAGCTAGATGTACCTGTATTCACCAGAGAGTGACAGTGTTCCCACTGAGGTTTCAACCTAGTGCCTGTCGTCTCAAACACCAAAGCGTTATCAATTAGACCACTTGGGCAATTATTTCATCGTTATTCTAAATTTCATCTGATACTTTAAAATATTTAT